GAGAGGGTGGAGAGGAGGATCTGATGGTTCACAGTATCAAAGGCAGCAGACAGGTCTAGAAGGACAAGAGCAGAGGAGAGAGAGTTAACTTTAGCAGTGCGGAGAGCCTCCGTGACACAGAGAAGAGCAGTCTCAGTTGAATGACCAGTCTTGAAACCTGACTGGTTTGGATCAAGAAAGTCATTCTGAGAGAGATAGCAAGAGAGTTGGCTAAAGACGGCATGCTCAAGAGTTTTGGAGAGAAAAGAAAGAAGGGATACTGGTCTGTAGTTGTTGACATCAGAGGGATTGAGTGTTGGTTTTTTGAGAAGGGGTGCAACTCTCGCTCTCTTGAAGACGGAAGGGACATAGCCAGCGGTCAAGGATGAGTTGATGAGCGATGTGAGGTAAGGGAGAAGGTCACCGGAGATGGTCTTTAGAAGAGAGGAGGGGATAGGGTCAAGAGGGCAGGTTGTTGGGCGGCCGGCCGTCACAAGTCGTAAGATTTCATCTGGAGAGAGAGGGGAGAAAGAAGTCAAAGCATAGGGTAGGGCAGTGTGAGCAAGACCAGCAGTGTCATTTGACTTAACAAACGAGGATCGGATGTCGTCAACCTTCTTTTCAAAATGGTTGACGAAGTCATCCACAGAGAGGGAGGAGGGGGGGAGGGGGAGGAGGATTCAGCAGGGAGGAGAAGGTGGCAAAGAGCTTCCTAGGGTTAGAGGCAGATGCTTGGAATTTAGAGTGGTAGAAAGTGGCTTTAGCAGGAGAAACAGATGAAGAAAATGTAGAGAGGAGGGAGTGAAAAGATGCCAGGTCCGCAGGGAGTCTAGTTTTCCTCCATTTCCGCTCGGCTGCCCGGAGCCCTGTTCTGTGAGCTCGCAATGAGTCGTCAAGCCACGGAGCAGGAGGGGAGGACCGAGCCGGCCGGGAGGATAGGGGACATAGAGAGTCAAAGGATGCAGAAAGGGAGGAGAGGAGGGTTGAGGAGGCAGAATCAGGAGATTGGAGGGAGAAGGATTGAGCAGAGGGAAGAGATGATAGGATGGAAGAGGAGAGAGTAGCGGGAGAGAGAGAGTGAAGGTTGTGACGGCGCATTACCATCTGAGTAGGGGCAGAGTGAGTAGTGTTGGAGGAGAGTGAGAGAGAAAAGGATACAAAGTAGTGGTCGGAGACATGGAGGGGAGTTGCAGTGAGATTAGTAGAAGAACAGCATCTAGTAAAGATGAGGTCAAGCGTATTGCCTGCCTTGTGAGTAGGGGGGAGGGTGAGGTCAAAAGAGGAGAGGAGTGGAAAGAACGAGGCAGAGAGAAATGAGTCAAAGGTAGACGTAGGGAGGTTGAAGTCACCCAGAACTGTGAGGGGTGAGCCATCCTCAGGAAAGGAACTTATCAAGGCATCAAGCTCATTGATGAACTCTCCAAGGGAACCTGGAGGGCGATAAATGACAAGGATGTTAAGCTTGAATGGGCTAGTGACTGTGACAGCATGGAATTCAAATGAGGGAAAAAGAGAGAATGTCCACTTGGGAGAGATGAGGATTCCTGTGCCACCACCCCGCTGACCAGATGCTCTCGGGGTATGCGAGAACACATGATCAGACGAGGAGAGAGCAGTAGAAGTAGCAGTGTTTTCAGTGGTAATCCAATGCATGTTGCTGATTGTTACTAAGAGAATGCATGCATGTTTTAAATAGTTGATATCTACACAGTTTTGTGGCTGTAAAGGCAGTTTAATCCTCAGTTAACAATAAACAGATTGGTTAGTATAACATTATATTAATAGCTGTATTTTTTGTGTAATATCCATTCACTACGTGTAATTGATTAATAGTGACAATATTGACAGTTAAATGTGTTATTCTACTGTAATACCAAAGTAATTGTTGATTTTAAACATTTAACTATTTTAACCTGCACATTGTCCCATTTTAGGATGTAGGAGTTGGCCCAGTAGATTTTGACATTGAAGTGCAGCCTCCTTCCGGTTAGGGTTAGGGTTAACCCTCCTTCCAGTTGGTTTGTTCTAAGGATAAAAGAAAGAGGACAGAAGTAGAATGATCATATTCATGTTAGTAAATGGGTCAAAATCAAGTAAAGTCTAATCATTTTTAATAACGGTCTATACTTGTTGTTGTTGTCATACTACTACACCTGCTCCGATGCTCGTCAGATGTGGCAGGGCTTGCAAACTATTACAGACTACAAAGGGAAGCACAGCCGCGAGCTGCCCAATGACACAAGCCTACCAGACGAGCTAAATCACTTCTATGCTCGCTTTGAGGCAAGTAACACTGAAGCATGCATGAGAGCACCAGCTGTTCCGGACGACTGTGTGATCACGCTCTCCGTAGCCGATGTGAGTAAGACCTTTAAACAGGTCAACATTCACAGGGCCAGACGGATTACCAGGACGTGTACTCAGAGCATGCGCTGACCAACTGGCAAGTGTTTTCACTGACATTTTCAACCTCTCCCTGTCTGAGTCTGTAATACCAACATGTTTCAAGCAGACCACCATAGTCCCTGTGCCCAAGAACACTAAGGTAACCTACCTAAATGACTACCGACCCGTAGCACTCACGTCTGTAGCCATGAAGTGCTTTGAAAGGCTGGTCATGGCTCACATCAGCACCATTATCCCAGAAACCCTAGACCCCACTCCAATTTGTATACTGCCCGAACAGATCCACAGATGATGCAATCTCTATTGCACTCCACACTGCCCTTTCACACCTGGACAAAAGGAACACCTAATGCTATTCATTGACTACAGCTCAGCGTTCAACACCATAGTGCCCTCAAAGCTCATCACTAAGCTAAGGACCCTGGGACTAAACACCTCCCTCTTCAACTGGATCCTGGACTTCCTGACGGGCCGCCCCCAGGTGGTAAGGGTAGGTAACAACACATCCGCCACGCTGATCCTCAACACGGAGGCCCCTCAGGGGTGCGTGCTCAGTCCCCTCCTGTACTCCCTGTTCCCTCATGACTGCATGGCCGGGCACGACCCCAACACCATCATTAAGGTTGCCGATGACACAAGTGGTAGGCCTGATCACCGACAACGACGAGACAGCCTATAGGGAGGAGGTCAGAGATCTGGCAGTGTGGTGCCAGGACAACAACCTCTCCCTCAATGTGATCAAGACAAAGGAGATGATTGTGGACTACAGGAAAAAGAAGAGGACCGAGCACGCCGCCATTCTCATCGACAGGGCTGTAGTGGAGAAGGTTGAGAGAGTCAAGTTCCTTGGTGTCCACATCACCAACAAACTAACATGGTCCAAGCACACCAAGACAGTCGTGAAGAGGGCACGACAAAACCTATTCCCCCTAAGGAGACTGAAAAGATTTGGCATGGGTCCTCAGATCCTCAAAAGGTTCTACAGCTGCACCATCGAGAGCATCCTGACTGGTTGCATCACTACCTGGTATGGCAATTGCTCGGCCTCCGACCGCAAGGCACTACAGAGGGTAGTGCGTACGGCCCAGTAAATCACTGGGGCCAAGCTTCCTGCCATCCAGGACCTCTATACCAGGCGGTGTCAGAGGAAGGGTTAGTTTACTGCTGCTCTTTAAATATTTGTAACTTTCTTTTTTTGTTGGTCCTAACCCTAACACTAACCCATGACCAGTTGGTCCTAACCCTAACCCTAACCCATGACCAGTTGGTCCTAACCCTAACCCTAACCCTAACCCATGACCAGTTGGTCCTAACCCTAACCCATGACCAGTTGGTCCTAACCCTAACACTAACCCATGACCAGTTGGTCCTAACCCTAACCCATGACCAGTTGGTCCTAACCCTAACCCTAACCCATGATCAGTTGGCCTCCCTAACCCTAACCCATGACCAGTTGGTCCTAACCCTAACCCTAACCCCATGACCAGTTGGTCCTAACCCCTAACCCATGACCAGTTGGTCCTAACCCTAACCTAACCCATGACCAGTTGGTCCTAACCCTAACCCTAACCCATGACCAGTTGGTCCTAACCCTAACCCTAACCCATGACCAGTTGGTCCTAACCCTAACCCATGACCAGTTGGTCCTAACCTAAACCCTAATGACCAGTTGGTTCCTATACCCTAACCTAACCTAACCAGTTGGTCCTAACCCTAACCCTAACCCATGACCAGTTGGTCCTAACCCTAACCCTGACTACCAACGCATTGGTCCCTAACCCTAACCCTAACCCATGACCAGTTGGTCCTACAACCCTACCCTAACCATGACCAGTTGGTCCACCCTAACCTATACAGTTGGTCCTAACCAACCTAACCCA